TCGAACCCGCGACTCTCAGATTGCGAGTCGAGCGCCTTATCCACCTGGCCATGCCGGGCCTAGCTATAGGTTAAGTACATTTCGATCCCCACTTATCTTTATAAAATTTAAAAGCAAATGTTATTATAGTTGTTACTCTAAAATCAGTCATATAAATCGAGAGAGAAGTTTCTATTTCAGCTACACTCAGAGTTATAGAACCCATTCAATCTAAATAATATTCCTAAACATGCTCGAGTTCAGAAAATTCAGTTGAATCAGTCTTAAAAAAAACTTTACATTCTTGTCTTCAAAGTAAAAAAAAAAATTACCACTTTTAATTTACCTTGCGTGAATTATGCCTTTGACAATTAACTTATATGCACCTGAAAACTTACAATCCTGTCTTTACTGGTAATGGTTCTTTTTTGGGCGGGTACAATCAAGCAGTAATTAGCAGATGTTCAGTGGAAAAATGATTAAGAATTAAATTTGTAGATCTTTAAAAAAAATGTTTAATTAGAGATATTGTCCTGGTGAAGTCTGAATTAACGCTATAGGAACAAAAATCGAAGAACACTTACCTCTTTATGAAGTCATTAAATGAAAACTCTTGTTCCGTGACAACAACGCGAGTCTGCTCATCATCCTCTGCAATAAGATAAAACATATATTGTGTGACTCTTAACGGATTTTCATGTACAACTTTTTTGTTCACCATTTATAAAACACCTATAGATACTTTGAGACCATAAACTACATTGTATTTAATTTTTTCAACTTCTAATCAGATTGGTGGGCTCAAAACACAAACATGACCTTTCAATGTTAATCTTCACTGAGTTCCCTGTTTGTATTACACTTGTCTGCATCGTTATATGAAAGTGTAACAGTTAAAAGATAAATAAATCTATTTACCTTCAAGTGCGTATTATTGCTAATGAAACATGTAAGACTAACAATGGTTAACAACATACAACAATTTCGATGACGAGGAACCCACTTTGAGACTAATAATGGTTGGAGACGGCTTGAATGGGTAATGAAGAAAAACTTTGATATAAGTTTAACATAACAGCAAATGTACAACGTTTCGACAAGGTTTTGTCATCATCAGGTACATCAACATAGCTAATAATCCACCTTTTAGCATTATATAAGTTTTAAGTTCTTAATTTTATAAGGCAGTATTAATTTTTAGTAAAATTATCATTTTCCCCTAGTGTGAGAATTGTGATATTTATTCATTAGGTATCCTATCTTCTCTAATTTATTTACTACCACTCCAAAAAAGTATGAAATTTAACGTAAATGACTTATTATCATATTGTCATTGCTCAGACAAAGCATAATTTTATAGCTTTCAATCTTAATTAGTTACATAGCCATAAGATAGAAAATCAAACTCCACTTGCCACGCACACCTTCTACATCCTCTGAACAAATAATTCTCTATTTCGCCTCCAGTTCAAACTTTATTCCCATGGGAAACATATCAACAAGCTTAGCTGAATGCTTAACAGCTATTCTTGCATAGTTTGAAAACAAAAAAATTGTGATATTTATGTGACTTTGTCTGCTTTTTTGCATGTTATTATTTTGTGTTCCTTAGTGCTTTAGTTAATTAAATAAAAAATATTTAGTGCAGTAGTACCATTAATATAAGAAAGTAGGGTTGAGTGTCGTCGACAGCAAAAAAGAAGACTCAGATAAGTACTTGATTTCTTATTTTTCACCGTTCATTTGTATTATATATTTATTATTAAAAAAGAAACTAACTAAAATATAAAAAATAAAAACGTTTTAGGTTAGATAACGTTAAATTACGTAAAAACAACTATAATAATAATAAAGTTTCACGAGGTACGCTTACAAGCACCTCGCGAGTAGCCGAGTAGCGTGCGTTATGTAATTCGATAGGGTAAAATAACCTCCACGTTCGCCAGTTCATTTACATATTTTATGGCGGGAATATTAATTTAGGTACAGTTCAAAGAGCAATAAAACAACACAATGTAAGTATAAACAGATGTATACTGTTGTGAGTTTGAAAATATTTAGGATAAACAAATATAGTTTCATGTTACAATTTGAAGTCATTTTAGAAAGAAAAAAGGTAATTTGAATTTATTTCGATTTTTTTTACTAACCTCGTATATAGAGTATAGGTACAGAAAATAACAAATAAAACACAAAAATTTACTGAAGAATGACGTTTTATAATTATCTAGGAGGTTTTAGAGATTACACAAAAGAATATTGAAAAGTTTCAGATGAATAAAATTAAAAGTATTTTTAACCTTAACATGAAAACCACTTTGCACTCGGACAAATGAACAAAACTATTCATCATATTCACAGACAAATTCTTATTAAAATACTTAATTACGAAATCTATTTTTGTGTGTGTGTGTACAAAAGTCTTGTAATGTTTACTGAAAGTCTGCCAAATTTTGTGAAGATACACCTACGGTATTAAAAGTTATAGTAGGGAAACTATAATGAGTACAAAATAGTTACGAACTCGATTGATTCGACCAAGTCCATGTGGAA